TTTCTGCCGAATTCTGCAGAGGAGGACTAAGGTGAAATTCGGCAAGGAAGCTGTTTGATTCTGAGGGAGAAATCACCATTCTTACCCTGTGATTTAATTCTGTGCTCCTCTCTTGTGATCGTTTGTCCTGCGTTATCTTTGCAAAGATGAAGATGTGGAGGTGAATTTCTGGTCCTGTGGCTACAGAAGGTACTGCCGTCGGTTCTGCTATGCCCAGGAATACACAGTGGGTCACCATGGGTGTCCTCGCAGATACAGGTACTGGAATCATGCTGCTATGTTCTTGGTGTTCTGGATTTTCGGCATCTGCTGTATTACAGGCATTTATGTTTTCACCCGTTGCCATAGTGATGACACAGTCTGATAGGCAATGTGCTTGCCGTGATGTAACATTCTCTTGTCAGATAAATTAGTACATGTTCGATGCCTCTCGTGTGTTTCAAACACGACCAAGAGACAACATGAGCAAGAGCAAGAGGAGAACTGCTTAAAGTTTGTATTTATTACATATGCACTCACAAAAAATAAATACAAAAATGCTTTAATCAGGATTATTTTTAGCTTTGTAGCATACTGGCCTCCATGCCCAGTATTATACAATGTTTACTACTGATCTTTGAGAATTTGTGAAAAGCATGTTAAAATGCAGCAATGCAGTGCTGATCGTGATGTTTTTTTATCTTTTCCAGATGCTGTGCTTTGCGATATTAGGAAATGCTGTTCAGATCAGCGTAACCCACAGGATATCTCGTGTGATCAGACTGACCATTCCTACAGGATCTCCGCTGTAAACAGATCAAGGTGCAAGAGGGCCAATCCTGCCTCCAGGCAGAGTCCACATGTGATATGATTTCATTTTGCAAACTGTATCTGGAAAAATACCCGTACCAATTACTGTATGTGAAGCTTCCAAAACAGCTCCACGATAAAAATAGATTGCACTATTAAGACACAATTAAAACACAATAATTGCCCATTTAAATGCAATTTTGTCATTTTAAATTCAGTAATATTTATTTTATATTTTTAATTTAATTCAGAAAAATAATAAAAAACGGTCTTTCCTGTGGCAGTGGGTCACCCCACATCAGGTGCTGTGCCATGGACTTGTATGAGGTACGTTAGCTTTGGTTTAAAGCAAATGAACTCCGGTAAAGTTTAGATCACGCTCAAGAAAAACAAATATCTGCTCATGTGGCAAAGTTGAACTACAAATAGCAGCCAAGCCTAATCACTAAAACATTAAATGACGTGGAAAATCGCTCTCGACCCCAGATGACCACATTAGCAAAAACAATTTTGCTAATGTACTTTCACAGTTTTGAATAAGCCTGCTGGGGAGAGTGGGTAGAGAAATATGGAGCAGAAGCAGAGCTGCTGAATCTTTTTGTCACTGAGCTGCGAGTTTAGCGTGACGCACTGCTGTGGTTTTTTTTGAAAGGACTGTGATCTCAAAGGTCCTGCGTGCACAGAATGCAGTATTTGCGAAATAGCTACGTTCTCTTTCTTGAACAATATTATTATTGGGTGCCATGACAGATAGAGCTAAAGATGCTACATTACGTTGGCTCATAGGAGGTCACAGATGAGTGAAGAGTGTTTGGGCCGTCTAGCCTGTTTGGTAGTTAGTTACTCACTGAACCGCAGATCCCAGCCAGCCATTTCTTGAAGGAATCCGCAATGAGCTGAAGTGCGGTGCAACAGTCCAGCTTGGTGACACCTTAGTGTGAAAGGACCAGACCAACAGATGTCTGTTTTTCACACACGTTTACACAGACAGACGTTCTAGTTCCTTGATTATGGTTTCAATAATTGAAAATAAATAATTCTAGAACACAATCTCAAAATATATTTTTTTTACTGCCTGGGTTTCTGCCACAGCTACCAAAACAAACGACTTTGGCATCCCAGGTAGTGTTGGCAGGCAGACCATCATTAGCTGTTTTTGTTGCTAAAATATCTTCTTTATGTTTCTATACTTATTTCTGCTTGTTTGTTGCCATCCAGTCTCTGCCATATTGTCACAGATTATTGTTCTGATGTAGTTTGGCTTGTTTTTAAAATAAAAAACCTTCCAAGTGTAAACAAGTGTGTTTTCTACTTTCTCAGCATTATCTTAAAATAAATTCCACTCAACACAGTAATGTTCAAGTCATAATCGTACTGCATAAGCTCATAGATATTCCATGGCATTTCTCATGGGACATAACATTTCTTTTGAGCATTGCAAATAATGTTTATGTCTAAAATTACAATCTGAGCAATAAATGAATTCCACACTCTTCTAGACAAAGGAGACAGAACCAGTAGGGAGGCACAGAGTAAAGAACAGAGTCTGGCAGGGGACAGAGGAAGCGATATCAGAGCCAGCTGGCAGGTCAGGATTTTTCCTGTAAACACAGTAGTTTTTATCCCCCTGTCTGCTGCTTGAATATGCATTACTGATGCCACTCCTGATGGGTGTAGTTATCCTATTTATATTTCATCCCTTGTCCAAAACAGTTGATGTGAGGATTTCAAACTCCTTAGTTAAATTCATGTCTCCGCCAAGAAATGGCTGTCTTATGCTCTGAGAAGGCCTTAAAATAAACAAGATGTTTCACACCCGCACTGCACATTTTCCTGAGGGGTTCGCCTTTTTCACTTACACACAGTTTGTGTTGATGAAAACAGATGCCTGTAACATTTTTCCCACGACCCCACTTGAATCAAAACTGAACGCAGTAGACATAGCAGACTACTGGAGACCATGTATTGTAGTGTACATACTGTAAAAACCCATGCTGACAGTGCCTTCTTGTTGCAGGAGGCCTTATTTCAAGAGTTTAGGACACACTCATGCATGCACAACCATCCTATCACCATGAAAACACTTTATTATCCACAAACACCATGAATTGCCAACATGTGGGAATGTTCACTCAACCCATCAATCACTAATCCCAGCAGTGGCTAATAAATACCCAGTGAATTTGTTTACAAGAGCTAGCCATCTTTGGCGGCCTCTAGTGGTGTCTTTCTGTTACTACGCTGTACAGTCCAGCCTGCCTTTTTTGCATAAACTTTTCTTAAATGACTTTCGAAAGTCTTTTAAAATCAAGTCAGGCTGCCTGGGGTATCCAGTGATGGATATATATATATACACAAAGTTATAATGGTGAAGGCCTTCTTTATAAGGTTAAATTACGTGAGGCCAACAGCATGGACAGCTCACACAGTATCATGCCATTCAGAGAAAATCTTAATGATTTAATGAGAGTTGTAAATTAGAACGACTTTCACATCTATTTTTTGAAGATCATGGTAAATGATGATATTTAAATGTCTTTTATCCTACACTTTGGAAGAATTGTAAAGAATAAAACCTAATGTACTGTATATAAATCTCCTATTAAGGTATAAAGTATTGAAATCCACAATCAACTTAAAACTTAAAAGAAAACAAAAGAATATGTAATTCATATGGTAAACAAAATAGTACATAAGTGCTTTTATACTCCATTCTCTTTTTATATTTAAAGATCTTTGGTAAAGATATTTGGTATTTGAAAATGTTTGAAATGGTGATTTTAATGAGACAATGCAGTCAACTCGCTGACTATCATAAGAAACAACATTTTTTAAATTTCTCTCATCATGGCACTGAACGTCAATGGCCTTTGCAATTCTGAGATGTTCTCACACTAAATATTTTTTCGTTGAAGCCCTTACCTTCAAAAATGACAAGATGCATTTGTACAGCATGAAAAAGTAACATTAATCACACACAATTAATATTAAATTAAATCAACCACTGCACAATTTCACTGACATCTTAAAAGACCATGATTTTACAAGCATAGGGAGATATTTTTCATACGAGAGGAAATCAAGCTAGCTGGGACAACATAGTGTGCATTGGACAGCTCTGGCTCAGTAGTAGTTAAAGTTCCCGATTGACATCTGTAAACATGTGCTACACAGTGCAACCTCATTGTCGTCTGGGTAATCACTCAATCTTTGTGCTTGTGTAACTCAGTCAGCACAGTGTGACACAGCCACAATAGCGCAAACCCCCTGCAAATCTGTTTACATGAGGCTTTCTCTGTACACAATAATATCAACACAGACCACAGACAGCCCCATCTGGTCCAAACCAGTGTTGGATTTTGGAGGGAAAAAAGGATGAACTTTTGATCTCCAAAGGATTCTTAGGTAACTGATTTATTTTTAAATCTGTTTAAACCCCCCTAGCTTTTACATTTAAAATAGGTCTGGTGACACTCAATTGATCTGAACACCACAATGGACTGGTGGGGTTTAATTATGGTGACACTACTCTTTATTTGCTGTTGAGAAAAGGAACTATGTGTCCTACATTTAATCGTTAATCCCAATGCCCAGTGCTCACGACTACATTCACACCTAAAGACTCAAAACCCACAGTGACAACAGAAACCTACTTTAAATACAAATAAAATGTTTGAACTAAGAACTGCATTAGTAATTCTGTGTAAATGGGATCTGTTTGTTTATCCAAATATAATTTGTATTCTGTGCTGCGCGTTTCGGAAATATTTACATTGCAATTAATTTGTATCTTTAAATATGAGCTTTGATTTAGAATAACGCGTATGAGAAACCACATGAATGAAATCGCTAAAATCACTAAAACTTCGAATTATGCAGAGACTGACTTATGCAAAGAATTTTAGTTTTTCACATACTGGAAGTATAAACTGTATTGTAAGCAGCTACTATTATACTTGTGCATCTTAAAAAAATATGGACATTGGATAGTGGCTGCACATCTGAGTTTGGAAAAATGTCAATTAAACACGGGAATACTGTCCATATAGGGAAAAAAATAGATCCCTTAAGAAATTCACTAAAACCTGACCGTTGATTGCATATTAATTGTAAACGAGCGCTATTGTGTGTGAGCTGTGTGCTTTAAATACACGACTCACAATACCTCAGCTATCTCACAGTTTGCAGGTCTCGCAGCACGTGATTCTCCGTGACCCGGAAGCAGTTGTGGAAACATAGGCTTGCACTTCCTACTTCGCCACCATGGAGCCATCCGTGTATGAAGATGAGGTTGATGACTGGTTTATCGAATCCTTACATCTGTGAGAAAACTATATTATTAAACAGCGAACGAGGAAACGTGTTGCCTCAGTACTTGATGTAGTGTTATGGCCATGCTGTAACCTCTAGTGTGCACGTATTCCTTGCAGTGACTTTCTCTTTTTTCATTATTAATAACCAAACCAAGAAAAGAGCACCACGCGACATATAGTGCAAATTTTATTAGGTATTGTATGAAATGCGAGCTGAATTGAGACGTCCGATTTACAAACCAGGAAAGCAATGCACTTACGATTGCAAATTAGTGTGTAATGTTTACAGTATGGCTATGATGCTATCGTGCAGTCCAGCTGCAACACAGAATAGAGCCCCTTTAGAGCAATGCAGTACCGTCGTAGTGACATTGTAATCTTCTGCGCAGGTATGGGGATCTCCATTTGTTTGAACTTCAAGATCCGACACGAGTCATCGAATGGACTGGAGGAAAAAGTAAAATGGACTGAAACATTTTAATTTCTTTAGAAGTGGTTGTAGTTCCACTGGTTTGACGAGTTTTATGCTGTTTGCTGAGATGCTACTGTGTGTGTATTTGTGTCCTCCGCAGGTATCTGTGTAGCTGGCTATGGAGCTAGTAGCACAAGGAATGAAATCCTGCAGCTGGCACTGCCTCAGAAACTCTTCGTGAAAGAAAACCAGGTAAAGACTGTCTCAGTAATGGTGCTCTTACGGCCTGGCAGAAGTGTTTTCACCAGTGTAATTTGGATCTAGGAAAGAACACCATGAATATACCCTGATTACGGTTAGAAACAAGACTGGCGGTTGGCACCTTGCAAATACAATAGTGACGTTCTGTAACAGTTTATGGAGCGTCTTATAACTAAAGATCCTGTTATCGTAGAGATATTGAATCACAGCTTATCCATGAGGTAGGAAACAGATTTTTAAAGCATGTTAGAATGATTAAGTTCTGTCGAAAGATCCCTCTGGGGACAGACCAGGCCTTGCTGAACTTCTGGGATGTGACAGGATCAGACAAGGTGGTAATGCTACCTTATGTTTACTACAATATTTTTGTCACAAAAATGTGTGCCCTATAGCATGAACTTCCAGCTTGGTCACACGTGGACTTTACAGCAGGTTAACAATGCAAAGTCTGCTTCAGAAAGGTCAGAAGGTCAAGAGAGCATGTCTGTGTTCGTGCTTGTTCATCACACTCCCCAGGATCACTCTGAAGGGCTTCTAGATTTCAGTCCTTCTGGGACACTTAAGTTGTTCACTTAATTGGTCTCTATTACCAGTGCCTCCAGGTCTCTACCCAATAAGGATTATAAGGTACCCATGAAGTGTGTGGCTCCAGGAGCAGGAGTGAATGTCACTGTGTCTGGTAGAAGACTCGTGGAATGAGCTGCAGAGAGCGGATGTTTAGAAACAGACCACCCTTTAGATGCAGTTCATCAGGGACGTGAATAACACTGGTGTCCGACTTTGTGGAAAATACAGCACTCCGTCCCGTTTCTCCTCAGGGCCTGTGCCCTGAACGAGACTTCAAGGTGGAGCACGGTGGCTTCTCAGACACGCCCATCGATTGCCTGAAGCATGTCTCTGGAACAAGGTAGGTTTGTAAAACATACCTGCAGCAGCCTGTGCACCGAAACCTTCTTGCATGGAAAAACAGAAAAAACACTTTTTTTTCAGTTAAAACGGGGGGGGGCGTCAAATGAAAGGAAATACAATCTATGCAGATTACATTAATGGGACTAAAAGGATCAGATACCAAGACAACTATGTACCTTTCCTCTACATGAACAGCTTCCCTGTTTTCCTTTTCCTGTGTTAAGGACGCTGGTGTCCAGTGGTCCCTCAGACAACACTCTGCACATCTGGCAGATAGGAGACGAAGACAGCGGTGAGGATCTTGTTCTTTCCAAGTGCTTGGAATGACTAACAGTCTGTTTAATCTCTTTATTTTACTATACTAGATTGTCTTCTATCTTTTCTAAACAAAGGAGAATAACTTATTTATTATACAAATTAATCATTGCTTCTTGGGGCCTGATTGGATGTTTCATGTATTTCTTTCATAAGAACGTAGGAAGGATCAGCTTTGAAATACTCATATCAAAGCATTGCTTACATTTCAGATGTCATGTAGATCTTTTTTTGACACTGTGTGCTGCACCTCCAGTATCCACAGCTCTGCTTATGTTTTACCTCTTGCTGGGTGGTAGATGTCATCAGAAGAGCCGGAGTGATCGAACCGGAGGTCCGGGTGAAGGCAGGGAGCAGGGTTGCCTCCGGGGTTTCCAGGACGCCTTGTGTCCTTCATGCCTCTCGGATCAAAGACCTGCAGATCACCGAGCTGGAATCGCGACGGGTGCTCTACTCAGTGGGTAACTGAGAGCTTGTGCATTGGACTTGTGGGTGTGGGTGGGTGGCCAGAGCTGTGTAAGCGATGCACCTCCATGTGAAATCGCTTCAGTGTCAGTTCGTGACGGAAGCTTTTATTTCCCCAGCTGCAGACTGCGCGGACAGGGTGAGCGGCCTGGAGTTCCTGGCCGCCGACGTGTTCCTGGTCTGCGCAGACAGCGGGGGCCTGTGGCTGTGCGACGTGAGGGACCCCGCCGGTCTGCGGCCCACAGCCACCCCCGAGGGGCAGGGCCCGCGCTGGCGCATGGGTGTAAAGAAGGGGCATTCCCACGTGGAGGCTGCCTCCGGCTCTGTGGCGCGGCTGTCCTCCTCCTGCCAGGTCCTCGTCACAGATCTGCGGAGTCCGAGAAGCCCCCTGTGCCAAGCCAGGCTGAATATTCACCACGACAGCCCCAATGCTGACTTTATGGCTGTGACCTGGGCTCCGGCTTTAGACGACTGTCTGGCTGTGTCAGGTAAGCAACATTATACGTCTCCTGGTCTAGAGCACCTACTGCCTCCAGGACCTCGAAGTCTGTTCCACTTGGTGCAATGGTTGGAAACCTGGTGCAAAATTCAGACATCCAGTGTGAACTCTACCAGGCTGCTGTTCAGAATGTTACTTTACTGATAAACAATCAGAGGCTTCAAAATATCATCCCAATATCCGGCCATGAAGGAGGCCTTCTGCTGGTACACGAAGGAGAGGTGCTTGTACTGGTGTTCAGAGGTGAGAATCAGGAGAGAGTCACTTGCTTTGACTTGGGAAGATTATAGGTTGAAAGAGGGGGCCTGCCAAGTCAATGCACAGCAGTGTTCGCTTACAAAAATGTAGTGGAGGCACTTTGTCCATGATTTTTCAGTACTGTAACTAGGGGGATAAGTGAATATAAATGTGCATTATGACAAGTAAGGTACTGTAGATACATTTAAAAACGTGGGTTTGTGGCAGTTCAGGCGGTTGCAATCTACTGCTTTCACAACACTGAAGTGGAAGACATTCTCTCTGCGCACTCCATCTTTTGCTTCACCACAGCCGTGTGAATGGCTCGAAACGAGAGAATGAGCTGTTTTCCCTCTCTGGCCGTCAGGTTTCGACGGAGCTGTGCGCGTGTACGAAACAAAGGCCTGGAGCCCGAACGCCGCGGAAGCAGAGCCTCTGTTTGTTCACAAGGGCCACAGCCTGTCGCACGGGCCCGAGAGCGGCCGGGGCGCGGCTGTGGTCACCACACACGTCTGGCACCCCTGGAAACCCAGGACAGTGCTGTCTGCAGCCACCAATGGGTCTCTGCATGTCTGGGACTGGGTCGACAACCAGGCCAGCGGCCGGTAAAGGCAGCGGAGGATTTCACAGGGACCTGCCTTTGGATTGGGGGGCGGTGGAACACTTCCCCTGCCCCAGTGTGAAGAAACTGGACATCTTGTCCAATGAGGTTTCTATAGGTTGTGGAAAAAACTGTACACTCAAAGACTGCTATCAGCATGACTGTAGCCTGTGCTCTTTTTGGGTACTGCAGGAAAAAGTCAAATGAATCATTTACTGTATACTTGATTTTCACAGCTAATTTTTTTTGTATATATAAACCTCAATTCTGCTGCTGCTGAAAGGAGTAGCATATTTTTTTCCTTGTGAGATTAATCAAAATTCTAATGAGAAAACCTTCTGCAGCCTAACACATAGTAATGCACAACACCTCATTAGTTCCTTTAACGTAATGCCTTACCTGGCTGCTTTACAGGTAATTGGGCTAATTCTGTTTCAGGATACTGACTTGCAGTTTTAATTTTCTTTATGTAATTTAACAAAGCATCTTTCAACAGCTTCAAACAAGGATGGCTTGTCCTTAGGATTGTTTCAGTATCTTTCACAACTTTTACTGCAGTGAAGTAAACTTAATTTGTACACAGCTTTTTGTGTTAGAATATTAAGTTTCATACTTTAAACAGTCAATACCGTCTTTCATCAGCAAGATATCTTATTCCCAAGTTAAGTGTAATTTATATATCTCTTTAATGGAAAGATCATAAGAGAATCATTGGCTTTTATATGCAACAATTCATTCAAAGCCTTCACTACTGGTTTGTATCATAATATTGATGTTATTTATACTTCTTAGTCTGCTTTCAAAGAAAGAAGGTGATGGTTAGATTTTTAAAAGAAAATCATATTTGCAGTTGCTTAAATACCCTTTGCCTAGAACATCTTTAAATCAGTAGAAGTACAAAATACACTATTTTGTATCTATTTTCTGTAATGGACTCTTTACTCTGTAAAGGCAAAATGACTATTGATCTTACTCTTGTGACCAACTGTTGAGATCTTTAATGACCAAGTAATCAGGACTCCAGTTGAATATACTTTTTTATGTATAAAGACAAAAACATTAACACATTGTATTTTGCACATTTTTATTAAAAGCCTTTTTCAGTGAATGGTTTCTTATGGAACATCTACTGAAAGGACTGAACTTTACAATCAATAGAAATCTCAAAGAATTACTTAATGTTTGGAAGGCATCTGACGCCCAAGACCTTGCATAAAAGAAACCTAGTTGTTGATTCAGCACAGCTCATATTTCATATTTGCAGTAGTAAAGCATTTTTATGATGGCAGTGAAATTTAAACCATAGACTCATGCTGTATACAAGAGTAATGCAACACCTTACTTGAATGTCTTTGCCAGTTTCTCATGTGTTGTTTTAAGTTTTCCAGGCATGTGCTGGTGAATTAACTCAGCAAAGCCTAGTTTCACGGGTTATTTTTGGCCATTAAAATAGCTCCTTCCCTTTGAGATGCAGTAACGCCTCGCTCTGTGCTGAGGACGTGTTGCGGAGAAAGCAGCACTGTGGAAATTTGCCTCTTGACACTACTGTAGCCTGGGTTCAATGGGGATCCATTTCCTGGAGCACTCTTTCTTGCAAGTGAGTGACATATGAAGGATTATTGGGACAATTGGCCGTGCACCAGTACATTCAGCTAGAGCTTGTGGAGGTTATCCACAGGGCCTTCACCAGTCTGGCAGCAGTGGGAGTCTGATGGAGCTGTGACCCATACTGGGGGGACTGAGACTTCCTTGATGGCACTATCTGTACAGTAAGCACACACAGCATACTGCACTCTAAGCAGGAAGTAACTGTTCGGTGTCACTGGATACATTAAAACCTGCAGAGTGAACTGTAGCTGCTTCCTCCCGGACCTGTGTGCACAGCACAGGCAGATATTCCGCTTTTCTACAGCTGTGTTTTGAGTCGGTAAAATAATATCTGGAACAAAGAACGCTATTGTGGATCGCTGGACTGCTTTCATTTTGCTTCATTTTATAGATAAATTAACATTCACAGAAACAGCTTAGAATAAATGAAACTAACAAGTGACGTGCACCTCATATTCAAAGCAGCTCAGAACAGGTAACAGTGTACTCAAAGCATTTTAAGAAAAAGCTTGCAATCTAGCTAGGAAGCGGTATTGATGTATTCAACTCTGAGGAACATTGTTCAGTGGTGCCGACACCCACATCCATCGTATGGGAAGGAAGTCAGAGCCCCGAGAGTTAAATGTGAAAATCAAGATTAAGGGCAATTTCCCTTTTATACATAAACTCAAGCTAAGGTGCAGAAGACACTGAACCTCCTGTCTTCTCCTCTCCAGATGCTTCAATCACATCCTTGAGATGGAAAGTGGCAAATGCAATTTCTTCACACTCGCTTTCCGCCCCACACTCCAGGAGGCAGCCGAAGAGCTCGTCCTCTTGACAGTAGGTCAGGTCAGAGTAGCCGCTAGGCCCTCGGCTAATAATCCAGGGCTTTTCCCAGCCGGAGCTGTGCAAGGGGTCACGGTTCAGGTAGACGCCCAGGTTACGTCTGTTTCTGCTGTCGGTGGGATGAGAGAAGAGCAGCCACCTGCCCGCAGTCACGCCGCGGCGCGGGCCGGCGCTCTCCATGAACCGCTGGGGCACGGGGAAGCTGACCACGCTGCCCTGGCAGCCTTTACCCGTCTCCACCAGCTTCTTCGCCTGGTGGGGGCTGTCAAACTCCTGCCCCCTCGTCTCGCTGAGGGCTTCCACTCTGCAGCCGGAGGTGCTACGGGCATTGCAGTACAGGTAGCTGCGGCCGTCGTGGTCTCCGATCTCGGCCATTTCACACTCGCTCATCCCGACAGCCGACTTTCGGGGGATGTCGCTCCTGTGCCATGCCTCGCCGCCGTCGTCGCTGTAGAAGGACAGGGCGTGAGTCTTAAGGCCCACAGGAAGGCCGAAGCACCTTCTGTGGATGTAGTAGACGTAGGCTGGAATAATCAGCCTCCCGCACCCCATCTGAACCCCGTGACCTGGCCCCACAGCGAAAGTCGCCCAGTTCTTCTCCTCGCTGCCGATCACCGTCGCCGTCAAGTCTGTGACGTCACTCCAGGTCGCCCCGTGGTTCTTGCTCCTGACAACGCACAGTCTGGCCGCATTTTTCCTCCAGAATTTTTGTTTGCACTCCGAAGTTTTCCCTTTGACGCAGATGAAGAACAGGAACAGGGTGCGAGAGGTCCGCTCGTACACCGGGCAGGGGTTCATGCTGCGATGGCCAGGCAGACGTGCGGACGTCACCTCCTGAGGGAGCGACCACTGAAAACAGAACTTCCCAGGGTTACCCCAGCTTTGGACAGTGAAAAGGTTTGCGGCAGCCGATTGTCATTTCATTCGACTTGTGAATCCAGTGCTGGAACCCTATCTGTGGATGGTACTGTATCTGAACTGCAGTCTAAATTGAAAAATCTGGGGGTGATATTTGATTCAGGCTTGACAATCGACCCAGATGTGCAGCATATTGTCAAAACATTCTTAAACCTCAGAAATGTTGCCAGACTACGTCCTATGTTATTACTAACTGCTGCTGAAAAGCTGATTGACACATTTGCCTTCTCCTGAATTGACTACTGTATTGTTCTACTCGCTGGGCTCTGTAAATCCACATTGAACAAACTCCAGTATGTCCAAAATTTGGCAACCAGGATCCTGACCCGGTCTGGTGCGAGTGATCACATTACTCCTGTCCCGGAGTCCTTGCACTGGCTTCCTGTCAGTTTTCCTGTTGACGTCAAATTCCTCATGATCACCTATGAGGCTCTGCATGGCTTGGCACCTCAGTACCTGTCTGAGCTACAGCATGCTGTCCTACTCCCCACCTCACAAACGTCGCTCTTCTAATTGTGGTCTCCTAACTGTCCCCCAAGACGCTCTACACTCTGTGGGCGACAGGGCCTTTTCCTGTTCCTGGATCTCTATCCCTAATGATATCAGAGAGAGAGACACCTTCTCTAAACTCCTTCAAATCCAGACTCAGAACCTTCTTCTTCAGAAGAGCCTTTACTGAACTGGTTCCATTCTTCACCCCTCTGCTCCTGCTGTATCCAGTACCCCCATCTACTGTCTCCTCTCATTGTGTATCTTCATTGTGCATACCTTGTGTATTTTATTTTTGTTGTAATTCTGTAAAGCACTTTGAGAATTGACCTTTAAAGGCACTATATAAAATAAAGTTTTTTATTATTGTTATTATTGTTGTTATTCATTCAAAGGACATAAAACAGTTCTGTTCAGTGCTCTCAAACTTCCACTGCTTTCTTTTTAACTTTTCATACATTCAATTAAAATCTAAGAAACACACCCCTGTGTAAACAAGTATAGGTATGTTGATTCTCGAAGCCAGCTTTAAAAAGCCAACCTCACACAGCAGAGATTTGACAAGAAACAGCACAAAATCTTGGTTGGAAATGTTTTTTTTAATTTCCTCAGGAAATGTGATTGTTTTTTTCATGAAGCAAGTCTTATTCACTGACCAAAGCAAGCTCATCTGTTCTATAAGACACTGGTTAAGATAAAAGAAATAACAGGAGGCTCCTTCTACAGGACTGAAATAATGCATAATTAATACTGTGCTGAAACTGACAAGAGATATAAATCAATAAATTATAAATTAAGCTTCACAGGGTGTGAAATGCCCTAGAGCTGATTACTTTCCTCTACTGAAGCAAGCCATAAGGGTTTATTTTTCATACTACCTGATGAACTTAATATATTTTTCCCATTACCTCAACAGTTTCATGCTGTCTCCTTCCTCTGCTCATCACCAGAAACCGCGCGTCCGTATCATTGCGCGTCAAGCGGCTCTCGGCGAAGGCCAGGAACGTCTGCGCGTCGTCGAGGTAGAGGAGGGACGGGATTCTGTAGGTCTCATTTCCAGGCACCTCCTTGAACACAGTTGTCTTTTCAGGGACCGACATTCTGGACGCTGGTTAAAGGCAAACTACCTGTACACGCACAACAAGGGGGAAAAAATGGTTATATTAAAAGAAACATTTTAATCGGTCCTCAAAAACAGCAATCACATTGCACACACTGACAAACTGCTGCTTCATCACCTTTGACACGACCTCTCCTGCAACTTAAAACTGCAGATCAAGCTGACATCTCACTCCCATCAGCACTCCAGCAGCATCAGCACCTGACTGGTGCTGGCAGGTTACTTCCTGTTAGAGAAATTACAGGCAGCCAAGTATCACTTAGGGCGGAACAGTGGAAAACTGGTCAGCATCGCTGCTTCACAGCACTGGGGGGGTCCCGGGTTCAATTCAAGACGTGGGGTACTGTCTGTGTGGAGTCTGTATGTTCTCCCTGAGTTTGCATGGATTTCCTCTGGGTGCTCCTGTTTCCTCACACAGACTGGGTAAACTGGCCCTGGTGTGAGAGTGTGTGGCTCTGTGTGCCCTGCAGTGCACCGGTGTCCTGTCCAGGGTGTAACCCATCTTGCAGCTGTTGCTGCCCAAGACAGGCTCTGGCTCCCCTTTGACCCTGTATTGGATGAGGCAGTGTGAGACTCGAGTCTTCCACCTCTTCTATATATTGCCCTGCACTCCCGTCATGGGTGAGTGAGAGAACAAAGTGCTGTAGCACTCGGCATCGTGCTGTTCTTCAGTACTGTGCAAAGAAACACTGTAATGTGCACTGAGCAGTACCAGTCCTACTTTCAGCAACTTTGAACACCAGGCGTTAGCCATTACATTATTCTGTTTCAGTGCCGCCCTTCGGTTCACATTGCTGCGCTGTGATCAGAACAGAGCAGGCTGAGGGCCAGTCTCACTGCAACTGCAACGCCTGACAGATTCTCTCGGTGTTTCTTGGGGATCCTCTTTACAAGTCACTATCAGCTCTGCTGTCTGCGTATCGCAGGTAGTTTGAGTTATGGATCCAATCGTCATGTTTAGGATATTGCTCACCTCTTTTATTACTGTCGTTTCTTAAATTGTTCAGGCCAGAAAAAAAAAGATATTAACAGCATAATAAAACTTATTCATTAAGTAACGTGAAACAAAATCCACCTCTCTCTCAAAAAAAACAACTTAAAAATCATACCTGTATCACGTTTTTCAGTTTGGAGATACGCTAGAGCGGTTGAATCCAGAAACAGAAACGTTGCTTTTTTTAAATGGCGAGTCCTTCCCCTGTTATTTCGGGTTAGGAGGGGTTTCAACACAAGCTCTTAACCTCTCCTTCTTCTTACTGACGTCTTGAGCAAATGGTGCTTAGATGAGATCAATGCCTCGCAATGACAGCGTTGTCACTACCTCGATCCTGGGTTTGGCCCAAGACGGTTGTGCAGCATTCTCTCTGCGGGAGTCCGAACTAACCTACGAAACAAGCGCCGACAGTTATTTTCTTGAAATAAACCACCTTCCAGTTTTTGAAAGGTTCCCTTTGCTGCTGCTGTTACTTAATTTACCCGCTCCCAGATTGCTCATAACACTGCAGTTACCGGCTCTGTAAGTGACAGACGACCTGCAACACGGGACGCAAAACGAACGTCCAGCGGGCAGCGGACACACTCGCTTTTATGTCAGAGGCGGCGACGTCACTATGCGGGTTCATGACGTACGAGGCGTAATCGTCAACATAATGCAGTCATTCTAGGACTGGTTACAGCAGTCCCTGCTCGTGACAGGAAGCTTCGCAGCCGGGAGGCAACAATAAATCAATCAGTTCTTTCTGTGGTTCACGTGTTCGCCAGTCGGCATAAGCCAACAGAACACTTTCACAGTGCGTATTATGGAAACAATAACACGCGGTCATGAATTTACTCTGCATACATTTATCGCCAGCGCATACATGGAAAAGCCTTTGTTAACGTTTGCGTTAACTCACCTTGCAGTGCACAACATAACCCCGCCGCCGATGTCTGTTTCTCCTGCTAGCTCTCGTAACCGACAGCAAAACTATCCGAAGCACACCGGACTCCGTCGTATCTGTCTGAGGCGGCTGTGCACAAACAAGGTTCGGGACAATAGCCTGGTGTCTGCAAGGACCTCTGGGAAACGTAGTTCTTTTAAAAGCATGATTCAGAGTACCGTAGAATTCATGCGTGTTCTATACCCTGCGTATAACAATAGGAATAAATATCCACAGGCACATCTTTGGAAAAAAGAAGCATGCATTAAGCAAATCTTTGAATAGGAGACGTTCATCTTGAATAGGGAAGTCAAAATGCAATGGACAGGGCACCTCCATCAAGTCCCCACCGAGCTCCATTTATACAGAGGACAGCCTGACTGCACAGCACTGCCCTGATCAAGCCCTCGGGCTCTTCCTGCCGGCTCACCTGGACACGACAGCATTGCAGCAGGACAACATACCTACAACGTCCTCGTGCGGCTCGTGTGACAACGGTCTTTTTTTCTTTCTCAGGAACCTGAACGGGTATGCTATGGCTGTCCTGCTCACCAGGCAGACTTTGTGGCAGGAGCAGGGGCAGTATGTAGCATGTGAAGAGGAACACTGCGCTTCAGGCTGTTTGAAAGGAACGGGACAGAACCCCACAACACAGCACCTGCAGCCTGGCGGACAGATGTGGAGTTCACATGTGAGCCGCCACCAGTGGCAACAATTAGCCTGTGACTTCCACAGTAGACTCCCCCTCAATCACTCATATTATTTAGCATAATGAGTTTACCTGTGTGGTTTGTTCAATACAATCTAAGTGAGGCTGTGTGAAATTGTTGCCATTAAGAGTTTTTTTAAAAACATTTCAGTCCTGTATATAACTAATTCAGATCAAAATCATGACTACATTTTGAATTAAACTATTTTGGACAAAAAAAAAAGAAAAGTTGGTCCAAATAGTTATTTTCTAAAATCCATTACTTCAGTTTATTTTCCCTACAATTAAGTTTTATAATCACCTAGAGCCATAAAAGTAGTTCAATCCTTTTATCTGAAAAACACCATGTCAAATAATGATTAGAACATTTACAAAAAAACCACACACAGTGGAGTCACTATGAAAACTACATACAGGGTGTACCATTAAAGAAAACAGACAGGTGTAAAAATGCCATTGTCATTTTATTTATACAATGCCTGTGAAGTACAGTCATGAACATTACAGGAAGCCAAAGCAACATATCACTATACCATCAAACCCATACAGTCGTTTCTGTATAATTCACTGGAAATAAATACAAAAATTAAATGTTTATTGTTGGAACAGAGTATGCAAAAGGAAACCGTATCCGTTAGTATCGTTCTCAGAACCAGACTCCACGCTACGTCACCATGTCACAATTATGCTGCTCGAACATCAGTAATGTATACAAGCAGTTTTAGAAAGAGGATCTCCGATGTGTAAAAAAGACCTTCACAGTACTAGAGCTAAAATGGGATTTTAAACTGACAAGACAAGACCCATCACTGCTAAACATAGCATTATAAAGGAAAACTTCACCCTCTTAATTTTCCATAAAAGTCATGAAAGAGGCAGGCGAGGGGGAAATACGAGGCTATAAACATGGATACAGTCCCTTTTGGATATTAAACATTTTGTCCTTAAAGCCCGTTTTGCACGTCTACAAAATATGCGAATTATACCTTTAAAGGTAGATGTAGGTGGTGTGCCAATGTCTTAAGAACATAAACAAAACTGCGTAAGTAAGGCTTTCTGGACAAAACAGACGCAATAACACTACTTTAAAAAATACAAACTGCAGAAGAAAAAGAGTCACACTCCATTCTCATTATAAAGGCCCAGTGACTAACAGCTCAAGATACGTGGCATATTGTAAATTTGATAGTTTAAAAATAGTGGCAATCTTTTCTCACCTTTACTCAATTGATCTTGGTCCAAGAATGATATATACATATGTACGTGAACATATATTTCTATACATTTATACACAGCATAACTATCACATTGTTGTTTCCAATTTAGAATGAAGCACCATTTAAAATTTAAAGGCAGAAGAAAATCAAGAGTGCCACTACTCTCACGGGAAATCCTTATCAGTATCCAACATACACCAGGTTTATGATGTGCTGTACTGTTTCACAATTAACAGGAAGAGTCTAATTACAAAAAGAAATATTCAATGCAAATTTTAAATACAAGTCTGAAGTCCTTTTAACTTCTTGGTGAGTTTGTTGCTGTCCAAAACCGTTCAAAGTTACAAAATAATTCTGAGTTTTTGTAAGATCCACTTTTTCCAAGACATCTCAGAAACCTGATAAGCTGATTACCAAAAATAAAGCTAACTGTAGCCCTGGGACCACTGATACTAAGAGGCTTTAAAAACACAAAAATGAGCATTGGAACCAATAGCATGTTTTTTATGTTTGTAATGCCTCCCAGTATAAATATGGTCAACAAAATCTAAAAACAAACACAAAAATATTTTTTTTTACCAGCGAGACATGAAAATTGATGCTGATCAACAGATAACCTGAAAGCAGTGGAGGCTACGTAACATAAGTATCTTCTGGTGTGATTCTCATGTTGCAAGTCTGAGTTATAACGAGGCTGGTGTGTATACTTTTATATTACTTAAATTTCTTTTCCATCGCCAGGGTTTCATGAAGTCTGGACACATCCTTCTCATACAGGTCCATCACCAACGTCCCATTTTCGTCGAAGAAAGCCCCCACAGATTTTGTGAACTCGGTCTCCCTTTTCTGATTAGATTTCCCATCAATGAAGGTCATCCTGAGAGTGTAATGGTCATCAAATCTGCAGAGCACATAAGGCAACTTGTCATGTTACTGCTGACTACACAAACACGCACAAACTAACGCAGTACAATCCTCACAACACAAATTATATATATGACGGCACCCCACTGAGATGGAATGGTATAATCAATCATATCCACCCAAAGGCAAATTCACCACCTATAACGAAGTTAGAATTGAGTTGTATCAAGAGGTTCGAGTGGGGTGTGTCACGTGCATTGTCTACAAAACAACAAGTGTTAACTCCATGACAAAAAGTAAAACTTTTTGCGTGTCACACCTGAAGAAGACTCAACAGACAAAACACTACATTTTTTCTTTCTACTTTTCAGTTAGAATAAACCTTTGTGTTATAATAATACAGAATTATGCCTGCCTTAGAAGTAATAGACACACCATGTATTACACAAAGGAAGAATACATTTCAGTACATTACAGTATTATAGCACATTAATGAAATCCACCAACGCTTTACCTTTTTAGACTTGAGGAAAGCTGCCAGACATGGTCAGGGTCCAGCCCAGCTGGATCTTTCTGGAGAGCTACCAAGAAAATGCTTTTCTCCTTGTAGGAGGTGTACAAGGTAAGAATGCCCATCATTATAAAGTAAGTAAACATCAATTAAGGAAAAACACATTAAATGTTCTTAGGTGCTGTTCCTAAAACCCTTCTCAATTCTGCTGGATTGCCTTCCTATGTATATGAAGTAATCTTTCTGCCAATCCAAAGTTAGAAGACTGTACTGTAATTTTGAATTACTTTCACATTTTATTATTCAGTTACCACTATTTCCAATTTATTATTTAATCACAAGAAATCCCTTTTCAGATGTAAATGTTACATCTGCATTTGCATAAATGAAACTTCTGCATCTTAAAGTGCTGTTTGCAGCGAAACTAACACACCAGAACGAGAACAACAACTTTTTTACAGGAAGTGCACTGCTGCGAAGGCAAAAGGCAGCAGGAAAGCCCCACACTAACACTTCCTGTGCTCAACACTCCCTACCCTGCAAATTAATAACGTCTTTCCACCGATTAAACAGCAGTTCCCCGCCTGCTGCTGAAACAAAAGGATATGACACAACGCAGAAGGCCAAAACGGGCTTGGACTCAGGGAAAGGATGCAGGTAGTCCCATACTAGTGCCACAATCGCAAAGAGGCAGGACACTGTGCAAATAAGAAGCCGCCCATCGATGAGCCGGAAGTTCTCGATGTGGCCGTACTTGTCCAGAAGCACCTGCACACAGAGCGGGACAAAACTGGCAGCTCAGTGATGAACATTCAGAGACCGTACCGAACAGCACTAACTGTACTATTAATGTGACCTCAGCTGCCCATTCTTCAGACAGCGGGTAAGTGATAAAACCTTTTAATGGCAGATTCGGGACAACGATGGCAATGGGTAATGCCGTCTTTTCTAGGGCCCCAAGTACAGCCTGACAATCACTTGTAGCCAAACACCCTCTTCATGGCTGCTGGTGTCTTTGCGAACACTCTGGCAACATGGGATTAAAAATGATGTCTGTGATCCTCAAAGAGTGATCTGTATATCCCTTGCAGTGGGTTTTCCTATCCAGTACTCTACAGAATTTAAGTCATAAGACTCCTGCCAGCCTCCACTTCTGTACTCCCACCTTTTTGGCAGCATCATCCAGGGAATTCTTCACAGCCGCTCCGTCCCACTTATCGATCTTCACAGGTTTTTCATCGATCCTCCACTGAAACAACACAGATACAAACAACAAATGTGCACAATATCCCCCATGGAACGTAAAGCCGAAAAGCATGAACTTCAAGGTTACGTTAACATCGTGAAGTGTGTAAAACATGACGAATTTCAGCCTGCCAAGAGTAGCAGGCTGTTCTTGGGCTGCGCTTTTTTAAGCGGAAGACGGTTTCGAGTCGCCCCCTGCTGGCCAGAGAGAGGTCATCATGACGTTTCACAAAGCCGAGTCGTTTTTAACATAAAAAATGTCACTACGTGCGTTTTTGGTCTTCAAACCCAAAGCATATATGTTCCTACAGGGCCACAAAAAGTATAAGAAAAACATTACTCGTAACTCTTTCAGTTCTTAGATTTAATATCTAAGAGAATGCATATATAAATAATGGATAATGCGATCTATATATTATAAATAACCCCAGGTGGGAGTGAAACTAGTTTTTGTTCAAGCATGTAGTAGTTTACGGCTCTGTGGTCGGCTGTGTGTTGTTTCGATGTTTATTCTCTTTCGTAAAAATGTGCTTTTACGAAAACTGCTTTACTTCTTCATGGAAACGACGAGTCACGGCCAGGTACCATGTAACGTTACTAGACGCAGTCTGTTTCGGGAGAGGGACAAATCACTTAACGGCGGGAGGGGGCGCTCCTGTGCTTGGGGGGGGTATATGTCCTTACCTGAGCTGGGGGTTTTACTTTGCTAACGGCGGCTTTCCTTCGGGAAGGGGGCCTGGACTGTCTGTGGGATTTTCGGTTGACCGACCTGACCATCGCTACCGGCTTCGGACCGGCTCCCGTCGCTTAGCAACGGGTCAGTGACGTGGCCACACCGCCCCGTGACCGGGCGGGCGCCATCGATCAGATGTGCCTAATCGATATTCAGATATTGGCTTTTAAAGTACAAGGAACACCGTTCCAGGATCCGATGGCGAAGATCAGCGCATGATCTGGGTCAACTCCAAAGAAAATGGGTTGTTTCGTTTCCTATGGCGAGGTTATGCACAGGAGAAGAAATGTAATACTTGTTTTGCTAAAATACCGTGCTAAACGTACTGGCATCTACAAGTATGCCATCATGCCAGGGAATCACCAATGATCATTAAATCATCCGGGAGTTTCGGGTGGAATGACGTTTAGAGACAGGGCACATTCTGGACAGTAGTAAAGTAAATTATAGTTCTCTTATTTATTTACTATATGGGCGAGCCTCATGATCCCATAACTTCAGTTAGGTAGCAATTTAAAAAAATAACTGATCATGACAGACTACCCACTCTCCCAATCAGATAGCGGCGTTTCAAATGCATGACCGACGTGTTTATTTCAGCCACCGCTGACCCGGTGGTGGAATTTTTTTTTTTAATAATAAAAAATCAAAAGAGAACATCCCCAGTAAATTCTGCCGCTCTGCGAACTGGACGAGCTTCAGTTTCAAAAGGCGATGCAAGCATTTCCTCTTAACGTCTACAAGCGTTACCTCTGCGCGTCTCAACAGTTCTCCACACACAGACGGCCTCATCTCTGACAACTACCGCGTAGCTTCAGAGCTTTTTTGGAAGGGGTTTTTCGTGAGCCTCAATAGTCAGTCGTAACACCACACTGTTACACAGAACAACTGCGACCCCCCTTGTGAGCCACAGAGCAAGGTACGGAAAATCACCTTCTGTGTCAGATGGACCATATGCTTCACTGCTTTGTGCGGGACACAAGCGTTTCTAGAAGGAGCGGCACTGCAGGCCGTGCATATCGACCAGTCTCCCGAAACGCCGGGTGGTTAAAGATGCACATCCATCTCATCTGTCAGAAGCATCGCGGCGCGACTGTTTCCTCACGTTTCCGCTCCGACCGCAGCGAATGGACGAGCGGTGACAGGTTATGGGGTCTCCTGCCCTGCACAACAAGCAGGAGCGCTGCGCCAAATAACCCCCCCGAAACAAACACAAGCAGACGGAAACCTCGCCCAACTGCAACCCGCTTGCAGTCCCCAAAATGTAAAAGTCGCACCGAAGCGAAGGACTGAAACGCGTAAAAAAAAATACACGTTCTTACTTTTTCTAGGATCCCACTCTTGCCGTTTCTCGCCGCCATCTTTTCTTCCTGTTCTCTCAATGACTTGGGAAGTTGCGATTGGTTCCAACTGACCAATCAGCCCTCTGCGAGGGGGCCGGGTGAAAAGGCGTGACGGAGCCGGAAGAAGGCGGTGGTAGGCTGTTGTGGGATTTGTAGTTTCTGATTGCGCTAGGTTGGGGTGCCGAACTACAATTCCCAAATCCCACTTCAAGGCGTCCTCTAGCGTCGCTAGGATACTGGACGATTGCAGAAAGAAAAGAAAATGGTGAAACAATTTCTATGATATTTGTGCCCTTGGTGTGGAATGCAAGTCTATCAACAGCATTTTCGTGCAGAGTGAGTTGAAGTATCTGCTTGAGCAAAACTTTTCTAAACTTTCGCGGACTCTTTCAGTACTTGACAGTCTCTGTTTTCACAGAGCAACGTTGGGTGACGGACAGGTGTTGGCGCAATGTGAAATATACCCTCAGATATCATCAATCGAAAAAGCAAAATAACAAACAAACAGTGAGATGGTACACGAGCAGGTAATATCATCTGTCAACAAAAATATGTATGTAAGAGATCAATTGCTTTAGTCATGCTATGGGCCAGATAAAAGTGATTAGATAGTTACGTGGACGGTGTTGACAAACGTATGTGCGAGTTGTCCCAGGGGAAGAACCAGTGAACAGCACTGTGATAGTATTACCTTCTTCTAGTTCACCTTCTTTCCCCAGGGAACGTGGGGAAGTCTACAGTGCAGGCAGGTATTGGGGAGCAGGGACGTCCATGTGGAAACCTAGGCCTTATTTTCCTTTGGAACGTGGTGGTTTCTGCATAAGCTGAATCTGCAGTGTTTCTCCAAGGGCATTTCATGTTTGCAGTAATCATGGCAGGGCCCTCCCATATTTCTATGTGGTCATGTCCCTTCCAGAACCCGGGCCCGTTCTGAAGAGGTCCCTTCTGCTGAGAAGTGGCACCCGCAGCGATGTCTATGGTTGGACTCTACAAGCTGGACGATGGGGAAAACCTCCCAACGAACTGCTTTCCTGTCAGGTCCTTCTATCGGCAAAGTGAAGAAGGTGGTTTATCGGGATTTTTGTGTCGGCTTCGTCCGAGTCCGTGAACGAGCTCTAGGTTGCTGAGCGCAGAAATGTATTTCCCAAACGTAACTGTCCGTTGTCAGGCTGTGTGGTCAGCCCTGTATAGCTGTAGAGCTAGCAAGGGTTAACATTCCTTCTAAAAACTGATTCACAGATAGTAGTAGTGAGGTTACCTGAGGGCCAGAAATAGTTTGTGTTTTGACACATCGTTGACCCATGGTACAGATAATTAATTGGGTTCGTGTCAATTTGTGAATCCATCGTGTGCACGTTATTGGATGTACAGGTCATGTAAGAAAATCGCTTTTCTTGATTCTAGTGCATATGTGTGCGCATTTCTACTAAAACGTTGCAAAATTGGATTTGCTGATAGTAAATGCTGAAATACAGAACTGTTTTCTGAAAACTGCTCAGCTGGATTGATTTGTCTCTATTTTAATTATCCTTTCAGGGGCAGGACACTGGCTTGTTGCCCACAGAGCAGCCGAGCAGCAGAAGTACGGACATGTACAGCACTCCAAGTTTGAGAACCACTTCAGAGCAGAGGGAGGGTCCCTGGACCAGTCTGTGGTATCCCACAGGAGAAAACTCCATGGCTCTTTAAAGTCCAGCCCTTCGGATAGAGTCTTAGATGGATTTCTTTTAGTAAGTACCAGTCAGGTGTGTTACAGAATTCCTGAAGGAACTCTGTTGGACACTTGCAGGAATCCGTAAGGATTTGTGATTTATAATGATAAAAGCCCTTGTGTGTTGTCTTGCAGATGACCACACATCACGTGGAGAAGCCGTCTGACCTGTGCTCTGTTGACATCAGTGACAGGAAACTCGCCCTGGTAGGATTTGCGTTGTTTGTCAACAGAGGAAGTGGAACAAGTTGTTACACACAGTGGTAATCTATATCTGTATGCTCGGTGTGAGAATCGGTGTGATAGAGACCAGTGTCTGTCCAAGCCTCGTCAGTTGAAAGAGGATGTTTGCATATATTTTCAAGCTCAAATAATTATTTGAAGAAGAGAAATAGGTTAAAAAGACTTGGCTTCAATGACATACAATTGATGAGTTTCAGTGACTCACAATTAGCAGGATATTGACGAGGAACCAAGACTGCAGTTATGATTTCCAAAGATGCTAGATTTCACAATTCTTCATTACTGTAAATGTAAAAATAAGTGATCAGTGATGGTGTTTTATTCAATCATTAAATATTTCTTGTATTATGTAAAACACCTTAAGTCTTTTCATAGAGAATAATCTAATTTTTAATATATTTTTTCATTTTAGATTTGACTCGTCCCTGGTATGATTGGTAAAGTTTCACTGAATCCTAGTAGGATTAAAAACAGACTGGTTTTGTTTTCTTATCAACAGGCAAGAGAGGAGGACTTCGAAGCATTTGACAATGTTGCCTATATTAACGCTTCCAACAATCTCTTGACGCTGGGTAGGTTACTGCTGTGGCGCGTGTGTGCTCTGTCTGCATCATGTTTATCTTGGGGGCCTCTGTACTGGGTCCATGCATTTCATAGTTGGACTTTGTTTCTGAAACTGTCATATTCTTTCTTATGGCATCACAATGCTTACTGTATATAATGTACTCACTTGCTTTGATTTTGTCATACAAGACCATTATCTTACCATGATCTCAGTCCTGCTTCACTGCATTTTACTGTGCTTTTCCTGGCTATAAAACAGTAGAGGTTAACAAGGGTATCTGTACTCCCTTTGTGCTTCTTCTGAATCACTCCAGCTGAGCTCCCACTCTCCTCTTGGTAGTTGGTTGTCTCATAGCCTTTCCTGTTATCTTCTTAAGACAGAGTGATTGAAGTCGTTTGTTTCTGTTTCCTTCCATGCCAAGCCACCATACAGAATTTAAATGCCCCGCATGCAATAGTTACCATACCAAACAACATGCCCTCTTGTTTCAGGGCCTTTTCGAAAGTTTCCAATATTAAGAGAGCTGGAGCTCTCAGTAAACAGCCTGCGCAACCTGACGATCTGTCCTGGAGAATTTCCCCATCTGGAGGTAAGGCTCTTTTCGTTGGTGGGTCATTCGGCCATCTTGTTAGCACACAGCAGTGCCGGAAGCTGCCATTCCTCAGACCTATTTTAACGACATTTGCCATCGTTTAGTGGATGTTGCATTCATTCATTCAAAGTTGGATTGAACCCTCTGGCAGACGCTGGATCTCTCGTACAACAGTCTGTCCAGTGAGGACGTCCTTGCCTTGGGCCTGTTGCCACGCCTGCGAGTCCTGCATCTCACGGGCAATGCGCTGCCCGCTCTGCCGGAGGACATGGCCTGCCCATACCCAGCCCCTGCACCGCCGTGAGTGCACTGCTTGCTTGTCCTCATAGGGGCTTTTGTGTAAAGCACTGTGGTCTACAGCCCTGTCTTGGCTAGAAATAGAGACCTGATGTGAAACAGTACAGCAGGGCAGTTCACTGAACTCTGGGGCTGCCCAGCTCCAGCCCTGCGTGATTGGTGTGTCTGTAGGTTTGTTTGTTTGTTTGTTTGTTTGTTTTTTCCTGGCCAGCATTTAATGGCTGAATTGTAGTAATCACTGGCTTAAATGGATAATCTTAATAGATTTTTCCAGCTTCTAGGGTGATGGTGATATAAAGAGACCAATTTTATGTCTGCTAAACTATGTATATCCCTCCAGTACTGAAGCAGGACATTCCTGCCTTAATTTTTAAGACGGGATTGTGTACAGTTTCCTGAAAGGCATATAGTTATTAAGGATGTGCAGACATTTATGATGTAATTCCATTTTGCAAGTAAATATCTATTGGTAGCACTCAGAGTACTAAGGAATAGGAATATCACATTCATAAGTGGCAGGACCCTGTGAGCATGAGCATGTGTTCACATATAGCTCTCAAGTCATTGCTAAATGGGCTGAATGGCTTCCTTTCCTTTGTTACCTTCCTAATATTTTACCTTTCTAGTAATTAAACAACACCGGTTGAGCATGTAGATACAGACATTGTGCAGAAAATAATTTTCCAGCATTTTAAATCCAGTACAACAATAATCAAAACTTTAAAAGTACACTTGTAACATTGTTCTCATATTTTATCCAAAATACATCATGAATCCCTCATAAAGCTCCTTTATGAGGGACATTCTGTAAAAGTTACAAGTTCAAACAAAAACCTCCATACAGTAATTACTCTTGTCTTCCCCAGCAGGTCCTATTGTCAGACTACCCGGTTCTGTAACCTTGAGGTCCTGATACTAGATGACAATAAACTATCTTCCCCAGGAGTATTTACAAGCCTTGCTAATCTAAAAAGGTAAATGTGTCATTCATAGGGATACAGTATTCATAACAGTCAAAAAGTGAATAAATACACTTACTGCATGCCAGACCACTTTATAGTGTCTGTATTTCACTAAAAAGAAGAAACTTATTTTAGTCAAATTAAACCTTATGCGTCAACTTTAGCTCTATAGACTGTAAAGCACTCATTTGAAATGTTTTAAGCTTTACTGTGAATATTTTGTGCAGTATTGATGTCATTCATGCTTTGGAACAAGCTACCCAGCTTTGCTGTGGAAGCCATTTTTCAGGAAATGGCTGGATGAGCTCTTCAGATCAATTAACTACTAACTACCAGACAAGCAAGGGGGGCCAACTGGCCTCCTGCCCTTCTGTAACTCTTCTCGTGTTCCCGGCAGACTTAAGCATTTAAACCTGGACAGAAATGGCATCACCGAGGTTCCATACTTGCAGCAGCACAAGCAGAGCTCAGATGCCAAGAAGCTGCCTGGGCTCACAGGCTTGCAGGCAGACAGAGCTCTTCCCGTCGCCCCGCACACGGAGGTCTTGAGGGAATCTCCTGTGGAATTCGATTTACCCCTTCCGGAGCTACGATTCCTCAGCCTAGCTGGCAATAAGGTTTGGATCCAGATGGCGGAGTGTTCATTTCCTTTTAACGGTACTCTAGATGCGTTTCTGGGAACGTCTGCTACAGCCACGCTACCTTGGTTAATTGGAGGTCCTAAATTGTGCACCTCTGTGTGTGCATGTGTCTGTGTGTCCTGTGATGGGCATCACAGGGTGTAGTCACGCCCTGTGATGCCAGGACCGTCTCCTGCTTGCTGCAACCCTTAACAGGAATAATTGGCTTTGTGATGGTGGATGAATGGATGGATACACTGTATATGGTATTTTCAACTGGAGAAGATGACAAGAAGGAATGTAAAAGTTGACCTTAATTTGTGGTTACCTTCTTCAGATCACAGAGGAAGAGGTTTTGTTAGCAGTGGCTCTGTTCCCGTCACTCAGCGAGCTGGTGATACACAGTAATCCCCTCACCACACAAAGAAGTGGTATGGCTACATCATTAACTGATCTTCTTAACATGCATTTTAACCGACTTCAGGAATATAACTGGTGATTATTTCATTAGCTTTATCCATTTGATGAAATAGTCGTTTGCATGGTTAAAAATGTCAGTTTACCGTTTTTTTGCTACAAATTTCAAAGGCTCGTGTTGTAAATGGTACATACAATTCTGATGGTTCAAGGACTTTAACTTTAGGAGGCACATTAAAGTGATACATATGGTTTGATGAAAGCCTTATTAACTGCAAAAGATCCCAGAAGGATTGAAAGTTCCTCAATGTTTCCTTTTCTCTCTATTGCAAAATAACGTATCTGTATTAGATTTTTTTCTGTTTTCACAATAGTAAAGAATCTTGCAGGTCTTCTCAGTAAAGTTCCTTCTGTCTGCATTTTCTGGTGGGTCAGTGGAAGCTCATTCCATAAACATTTCATGGCACGTGTCCTATTACTTTTTGGCAGGTGACCCACCTCTCCTTACTAGTTTCCTTCAGAACAGACTGGGCATTAAAGTACAGAGGAAAGAGACCGTGGGACTGGTGAAGCCACACTTCGTAGTCCCAGTTAATCCGAAACGAAAGGTGAAGTCCGAACTCCTTTCAGAGCCACATCGATACCATGAGGCACCAATCTGGAGTGGAAGATGCTTACATTCTTGCTATGAAGCATCATGTACAACAAGACAAAATTAAATATAAAACTCAAGGTTCTTAAACCAATTCAGTTTCTTTATTTAAATATAAAAAAATATAAATGTGCAGAAGGAAATCATTAACAGCTGAAACTGAGTGCGTGTACAAAGCCTAGGAATCCGTTTTGTTGTTTCTATCTTGCAGGTGAAAACTAAAATCCCTAAGGTTCCCAGACAGCCCCTGTTTTTGGAGTCTGCTCCTGGCTCTTTCCTTTCCAGTCCTGCGGCTCTGAAGAAAAATCAGGAAGCAGCAGACTCCCAGAGGAGTCTAGGCCCAGCAGAGTACAAGCCTCTGCCCCCAATCCGCCCGTCTTTTCCATCTGACAAGAAGGAACCCGGAGAGGGAGAAGCAGCAATGTGCTATCGAGAAGAGGACAATTCGGAAGTGGATGACAAGGATGAAGGATCAGGGATGTCTAAGGATCAGGATACCTTCTTTATGACACAGGTAAATTATGCAGTGACTGTAAACCTTGTTTAAAAAAGCGATGTTGAAGAATGCAGATTGTTCTTGGCACAAGGTGAAGGAAGACGTAATAAATTCAGAGAAATTATATTCTTTTTGGTCCCTTTTTACATAATCTTTTCTAAAGGTGTTATTTCGATCGCACGTAGTTTGGTCAGTACTGGGGTGGGAGATTTCTAAGGAAAGCCAGGTTGCAGCTGTACGTACCGTTAGTGGACCAGTAGGTGGCACTGTTCTTTTTGAAGCACTGTGCTGCAGGAGGTGCCATCCTCCAGATGTGCTGTTATACTAATGTCCTGATTAAATGTCCTCCGAGGTACTTTTAGTGAGAGTAGGGCTGTTAACCCCAGTGTCCTGGCTACATTCCTCTCTGAGCTTGTACAGTCTTCCCTTACACCCCCCCTCGCTCCTCCCTGGACCTGCTGTGCAGAATGGCTGCTGCCCTTCTCCCTGGTAGGGTCCCCCCTATACAGTATGTGGTCTGGGGTACTTTGAGGTGAGAAGGACTTTGTACATTTTTAATTAAGCTTATTGATGTACCAACTGTTTGCAATATATAGCAGTGATGTTGGGGGAATGTCTTAGACACGTCTTAGGTGAAGCCATGCCACTCATTTAATTTAGGCATGCAAGAATATGGGAACTTCTGTCGGACCTCTGACACCGGAAATGTGAGCTGGTCTTACAGCAGGTTTTTAAAATCCAGAGCTGGAGAGAACACACCATAAAACCAGAGGTGTTCTTTCTTTGCAGGTGAACGATTTGCCAGAATCTAGATGGCACGTCGGAGTGGAAGAGAAAGAAGCAACTGACGGGACAGAACAAAGCCTGAAAGAAGAGTCGGTTCCGGACAGATATCGAGGATATGAAGTACTGCTGGATGCAAAACCTGATCCCGATATGACTGAGCCCATGGGTAAGGACTGGTCGATCACATTCAGTGATAGCAGCGGTGGGAGACTCAGTAGTCCTTTTAGTTCCTTGCTGGTTATCTGCCCACTCCATCCCAAATTATTAACTTTATGGCATCCATGCTGAAAATGAAAGAAATAGTCATAAATGTTAGCCCAAAAATAAAGATATTAAAAACAGAACATGTTGACTGTTTTTTTCATTTGTGTCTTTCAAACCAGGAATCCAGCAGAATGTCAGAGCTCTGGAATATGCACTGAAGCACCTTCTGGTTTACAGGGATTCCAAAGCTAGACTTGACTGTGTTCAGAAACCATACATACCAAAGGAGAGGAAGGTGAGATTGAGTAACAATCAACGTTACAGTCAGATGTCTTGCGAAGCAAGATTGTTTTTTTAAAGACTTGCTTAAACTTCAGCTATCGTTAAGTGGTAAACTCTAAGAAAGGAGGCATTTCTACACAAAGGGTTGTGAATCTGCAACAGGCTAGTCACCTTTTTTTGAGGAACCTTGACTTTTATCAACAAACTTCTGAATGAGATCATAGACGGGCGTTGTTACGTTGTAACGTTGTTAATTTAAAAAACACAATCAGCTCCTCATAAATGGTACAGCATGAAGAGTACAGATAGCTTTATAATTACAATTAGGTTTTGGTAACATTTTTCATTTCTCCTGACAGCTAAGAAAGCTACCACCTCCAAAACCAAGGAAGTCGAAAGGGGAGAGAGTAGAAGAGTTCCTAATCAAAATAAAGAACAGGAAAACTATAACCGACATTCCATTAGGTACTAAATTCTGAGCTTTTTTTTTTTGTCTTTTAAGGAGAAGTCTATTGCATTAATGAGGTCAGTATGAACGATATATCTGATTAGCATAGTCTTGTATCGTTCACAGCAAACGTTCTTCAGGATAAAGACACCTACAAGAAGGAATACGAAGAGGCTTTGATTTTGCTGAGAGAAATGAAGAGGCAATACCAGATGGTCCGGGCCAAAGCAGTGGAGCAGGCAGCACAGATCGAGAGAGCACAGCTGGAGGCTGTTCGGGATGCAAAACAAGAAAAACCTCCTGAAATACAGCCACTCTGAGGTGGTATCAGGTGGTTTTTTCCCCCCTGTGTTTTCTTTTCAGTAAATGTATAAGACAATTTTGGTAGCAATAAAGATAAGTTTAAAGGAAAGGAAAGTGTCTTCAGTATAAAATGCCACTTTAAAGGCCATGTGCTGCACAAAGCTGTCGAACCAAAGATGCATTTTTATTCTTGATGACAGAACCTTACTACACCATAAATTCTAAATTACAGATTGAGAGCTTTTTTTTAAAATGGTTAAAAACATCTCCTTTTTAAAAATATGAATAACCAACCACATAAACATTTTTATATTAAGTGAGAGGAATGACAGAGGCACTTAATTACACGAAGTGTTGTCGGGGTCTGGCACAAGCTAAACAGTCATATTGTTTAAGTCAAAAACCTCTTCAAAACCAGTGCCTTAAAAGAAGAATGAGATACATGGATTAACTTACTAATAAACAAATAAAATAGTCTATCATTTGCAAGCTTTATGTTTGTTCATAAAATCTGAATGAAAATAATGACAAGTTAACAGTAGTGTTGAAAACAAAGAAAACACTTTCCAGAATGTGTAGGAAAATTTATTTGATATTGACAAGGGAGGAGAATTAAGACAATTTGCGCTGTTAATTCGTTTAAGCAGTTTCAAAAAGGTACGAATTTCCATTGCAAACCTCATACCACCTAACTTTATGCCACATGTGACAAAAATGAATAGGGAATAAAACAATTTGTATCTCGTACTGTAGTCTTTTGATTTAAATCTTATTATACCATATTTCTGATATTCTAGCAAATTAGGTGAATAATACCAAACCTCAAATCAATTGTTTTATATTCACCAATGGTGGATCAAAAAGACCATTCCTGGTGTACAAGATGATTTTTAGCTGGTTAAACACAGATCTCATGTACATTGCAGCCCATAGTTAAAGCTATGTCAGTTTAGAAACATTAAGGCTAAATCAGATTTAAATCCCTGGCCACAATCATAATTAGTGTGAAAAACAAAAAGTGGAAGACAACAGAACTGTTTAAGAATGCTTCTCTCAAAGTCAAAATGACAAAATATTTTGATTTCTATGTGAAGGCAAGGGCACAGACTTCTGACGGTGGAGGTTAATTTTATTAGGTTTCCAAAAATCATGTTTGTGCTTTGTGCCCATGAGACAGAAATGCCAATTTGAGGGAAATCGAATCTGTGTCCAGAAGCTGATTTTTACTTAAAAGTAAAAATGCGAGACCACACTCAAACCAACAAGATATGACAGATGGTGTCTGCTGTTGTACATTAGTGCACTTCAATATCTAGGTCCGCATTGTTAACCTTCTGTATTTTTGTCAATTTTTGAGGGTTAATTCCTCTATACGAGTGGAGCATTCCTGAACATGTCTGCAGCATCGATGAAAAAGCAAGTTTGCCATCACCAACAGAAACCAAAATAACGAGGACCAGGGAGGAAGAAAGCCTCTCTCCAGTACATGCAAATAGCTGAATCAAGCCTTTTGGCACTAATCAGAAAGCTTTTTCCTCTACCCTTTAGAACAACAATAATATATATAT